CTGAAAGACTCATGCATGCGTTTGGCAAGGCTTCGCATATACTGATAACATTGGTAATCTGTCTCATCAAGAACGGTAAGGTCCAGATCTTTGAGTAGACCGGCGTCAATAGCTTCAGATAGTAGTGGGCCAATATCTCTCGAGAAGCAGTCGATCAAGTAGAGATTAAGCTGCAGCTTTATGACGGTGGATCGCCTCCGAGGTCTAGTAAACAAACACCTTACTGCTTGGGTCAGAGACGCCATCGCTCTGAGCATGTCATCTTCCTCGACTGGGTCTGCGTGTGGAGCACGTAGGAAATCCTTGACATCAATGCTGAGCTCAGGCAGCAGCCAAGGCAGCTGCCTCCACCGCGTCGACAGCGCGCTCGTCCTTGCCGCCGTACATAGGCCGACTCTCCCCAAGATATTGAGCAAAACATCGTCGGTCAGCGTGGTGAGCCTATCTTCGTTCTTGGACTGCTGAAACCGATCCATGACTGCGATCTACAACCTGGCAATGGACAAACAGAGAAGAGAAGAATGGCACACTCTTATGTCTCTTAGTATATCTACTAGTAGTATGTGTTCAAGACTCTACTAGTAGTAGTAATAGGAAGGAGATCGAATGAAGAAATTTTCCATCAGCGCCAAGGCATAAACTTACTTGGCGGCGCGTGTTGTCAGTATTGAACTCAATATAAACAATGGAATCCAATGGGGATTTCGAGCCTCAGGTTGCTGACACCCTGAACCCTATTAGGGGGAGGAGGAGGGGCGTCTGACTCTGATCCGACTCCAACTGGGTCTGGGAGGGGATTCCGGAATCGATTTATAGGCTGGATCCAAACAGAATCGAGGAGCTTGAATGTATACTAGGAAGGGATAATGGGGGGAGGAAGCGGAGAGGAGCCTTGGCCGCGCCGGCGCCGGCAACGGCGGTTCCCTCCTCCTTCCACGAGAGACGACCAAAATCGCCCGGGCTATATGTCGCCCGTGCCGACCACTGTAGCGAGGTTCCTTCGCTGCGAGCTGTAGGTTCCTGATCCCGTTTTACCCGACACCCCTTACAAAAAAAAGTGCCTCGCGGCGGTCTTCTTCCACCGATTAAATAGTGTAGGAGTTAGATGAGGCTTTGTTAATTTTCATTTAGATAAGCATAAGCAAACCAGATATTTCTATAAATTAATACGTATATATAAAGCATGATACCCGGCAGTGAAATCCTAATGCGTGAGAATGTCTAAGTTCTGTGTTCAAAAAAAGAAAAATAATGCTTAAGTTCTCTAGTCAAAGGAAGAAAATCACACGTACGTACGTGCATGTTGGTTGCTGCCTTACTGCGATATATCAATAATACTAATCCAACTTGTGGCTTAGTTGGAAACATAAGGTTTCCCTTCTTGTCGATGCTCGTGCGTCTCAATTCCGTTTAGGTCATCTAGTCCGACGCGGACACCTCCTAGGTAGCTTGACCTCGTTTATTAATAAACAAGAAACTAAAGGCCAAAGAGCAGCAAAGATCAGCAGAGATCGATGGCCTCCGACGAGCTCCCGACGGCGGTTCCGTCTAGCCTGTCGTCTCTGGCGTGACATCATCGACACACACACCACCGAGATGCAGAGCCGCCCCAAGATGCTCGTCGCCACCGTCGATGCAATACACCTTGTCGAGGAGGACGACCTACCATCATCGCGATGGACCGGCGCCGACTACGACTATGATCAGGGGCGGACCTACGTAGGAGCTACCGGTGTCACAGGACACCGGGTAATTGTTCCGCTTACGTTATATTTACAGCCCATGTAGGCGTGTGACACCGGTAAATTTTGTTGTTGGACACCGGGAGAAGCCAGCGACTGAGCGCTCGCGCAACCCATCTGATGGCCCATATGCAGCCCATCTGATTGATCAACCCAAAGAAAATCTGATGGATTGATCCGCTTTGTGTGTATCTGCGCATATTGCCTTCCGCTTTCTCGCCTTCCTCTCCAACGAATCCTCATGGCCTCGTCCTCGTCCTATAGGATCCCATGGCTCATCATCGCATGGCGGCACGCCTATTTTTTCCCTGGATTGGTGGAGAAAATATTAAGGGAAGGTAACCCCCTCATCTTTTTGAGGTCCAAACCTCGGCTAGGGTTTTGAACCTCAAAGGTCTTTCAATTGAGAATTAGGATACGGTACTTATCCAAATTTGACGAGTGGTTCCCATCTGTTTGAGAATTGGATTACTATAATATTCCAAACTTTTATTGTGATTCACATCTACTTGAGAACTGGATTACTGTAATTTTTCAGGTTATCATGGTGATTTTCCAATTTACCAATCATCTTTGTTTCCTTAGTTTGAATTTTTCTACGTATATAATCAACTAGTATTTTTAGTTAAACACTTTATTTTGCTATTTTGGCAAGCATTTTTACTATCGACCATTTTAAATTATTGCTTGTTATTTTTATACAAATCATGTACTGCAAGCATGATTGTAAATTGTCTGCTAAATCTTCATGATAGTGCCACAATTGCTATAGGTGAGCCTCGGGCCTCGGCACTACAATATAACCGCTATGAAATCCTCAAATTCAGCAAAAATATCCAAATATCATCTATCCTCGATGAAAAATTACCCGCTATAGTTGCTGAGAGGGTCTGCCCTTAATTTTTTTTCTCCCTCGAACAAAAGCCATCACTACATGGGACACCGGGACATTTTCGTCTTGGGTCCGCCCCTGACTATGATGGCATGAGCCTTGTCGGCACCTGCAACGGCCTCGTCTGCATGTACGACAGCCAAGACCCTAACGGGCCCATCATCCTTGCAAATCCGGTGACCGGCGAGATGCTGGCCATACCGCCACCACCCCCGATGAGGCACACGAAGGCCACTTCGGACTCACGTCTGACGTTCGCCTTCACGTACCACCCCACGACGAGGCGGTATAAGGTCCTGCACGTCCCGTACAGCTTCGAGAGGGTCTGGATGTTCACGCTCGGGGAGGCGCTCTGGCGAGACGTTGCCACGGGCAGCCCAACGGAGATATACGACCTCAGCAAGGGCATGATCAGCATCGATGGCACGGTATACTGGGCGGTGAAGGGCGGGGAGGCTAAGGTCGTGTCCTTTGACCTTGACAGCGAGCACGTCGCATCCGTCATGCCGATGCCAAAAGTGTTGTCTAGACACGGTAGCTGGCACCTTGTGGAGGCGCGCGGGAGGCTGGGCGTGGCGTTTAGCCGCGGGTGGTGGACGGCGGACAAAACGGAGGTGTGGGTCATGGAGCATGCGATGGCAGGACGACGGCGTACGTGGAGCCGCTGGTACAAGATAATAATGGAGAAGCCAGTAGATCAACTCGCGCACCAGCATCAGCTCACACTACCAAGCTTTACTACTGATGATAGTGAGTACATCCTGACGATGAGATGGGACTCGTACCTAGAAGGAGGACGTTCTCATAATTGTTATGTCTTGTACAAGCACAAGCCAAGCAATGAGGTAAAGAAGCAGGCACGGCATGGCGTGGTAGAAATCGGCGAGAGGGACCGCGGCGCTGAGGTTGCTGTTATACCAACTCACCACATCCGCCCCCGGACCTTCGCCTACGTCGAAACCACAGAACCTTTGAGTGTTTATAGGTGTAGGTGACTGGTTGGTACGTATTTGCTTATCCTTGCTGGTAGTGTTACTTTTTGTGCAAGAAAACCGTCGCCACGAGGACGGTTATATTTTTTGACAGATAATAAGCATAAATTGTTTGATGTCATAGCTTCTTATGTGGCTGATGTGTACATGTGAGGTCCGGTGCTTATGCACTAATCCATGGTGGGCAATTTTCACGGGTAAGTGTCAAATTCTTATTCAGGCGCATGTTTTTTACTGTTTCCGATGCTGTTTGCAAATATACTTGATCCTAACCAAAAAAATGTCTTGCCGGATTAGCTATTCATCTGGACTTTTGTAGTACAGACTATAGAGAAATGTTAGTGAGTGTACTATATATGTTAGGATTTGGTTTGCCTGGGTTTTTTCTCATAGGAGTGCACCTAAGTATTAGCTTACATGCCTAGACTAGTCCTGCTTGTTTGAATGATATCAATGTTCTGTTGCATCGTCACAAAGCATGATGCCACACTAGATGTCCGGTTTAATGGTGGATTCTTGAACTAAAATAATCGTCAGGTTACGCACTGTCCTGCAGTCTTTTCTAAAATTTGATTTCGACGGTGATTTCATAAACTTTGTGTGCTTCACATATTTAAGAAAGCCCAGTGAACCTTGATGTTGCACTGAAAAATACATATTAAAGACTTGCATGCCTAATATTAGTCTCCTCAGTTTGGATGACTGGATATTGTATTTTTTGTTGGGTAAAACATTGCATTTGATAAGTCACTCTATATTTTATTGCTGCATCTGCATAGCAACGCATGGGCATTTGCCTAGTTTAAATAAATTTATAAAAAGATTGATGGTTTGGCCGGGGGTGAGGCGAAAGGACCAAGCCGATTCCACCCATCGGGAGGTCCGGAGGTGGAATCGGGAAGCGGGTGCCGTTGCTGCTTCGGCATGCCGGCAAGCTTGTGACACCCACCGCTTCAGGAGCGCGTGCAGGGGCCTACCGAGTCTGGCGCGTGAGCACCGGCGAAGGGCGCTACCCACCACACATGTCGCACGTCATGGAAACACGGCCTCTACAGTACGCCGCAAGCCCCGGTTATCCCTCCACCTTTGATGCCCCCGCTAGGGTCACAGGCCTCCGCTACGTGGCCCGGCGATGAGCAGATGCGCTGCTCCTCTATTTCAACCGGGCCTTCCATGCATAACCAAGCAGTGTGGGACTAAAATCAATCCTAATGCAGACGCGCGCATCGCGTATATATATGGAATCAATCAGCCGTGACTTCCTTGCGCGCGGCTCAATCGATCAGGCGGTATCTAATCTATCTACCGAGCAGACATATATAGGATGAGGATCGGATCACCATGATCCCCGGATTCGGACGAAACAACCCGGCCTTAACACCCGGCCCGATCGATCTGCCCACCCTTGGCCGTGCCGGCGCCGCCTTCCTGGCCGCTCCTGAATGACAGTGCTGGCTACTACGAAGAGACGGACTGGACGACGGTTGAGTGCTTGAGCAGGGCGCCCTACGGGTGATGGAGGGCTTCGTGGAGGCGGGTTCCATGGTCGCCGTTCCTGAGGGAGCAGGACGCCGGCGTCCTCTACTTCCTGCTGCCGCTGGCCGATTAGAAGTCCGAAAGAGGACGCCACCTCATCGGCATCGACGTGGGCAGCAGCAGCGAGCCGCGACTCCTGCAATCCCGACCTCCGTCCTTCAACCATCTCGCGCTATTGGTTCCCGGCCAGCAGGGGACGCAAAGCAGGAAGAAACTGCCGTCTAGCTAGACCGATCAGAGTCATAGCAACGTTGGTTTCCAAGAAGATATATGACATTGTCACTGGAATCAGTACTGAATATCGTCCTACATATTGGCAGTTAATGCAAAATCAAGTTATGACTCATGAGTGATCCATCATATAGTAGTGTTTATGCAATCATTCTGCATACTACAGTTCCATGATTTAACTTTAAAAAAAGGATTAATTTGATAAATGCCACTCCAAATTTGACGATTCCAAGAAATACCACTGCAATTTCCAAACTTTAAAAAATGTCATTTCATGCCATTTTTAGTGGCATTTTTCGAAGTCTGCAGTGCCATTTTTTTAAAGTTTGCAAAAATTGCAGTGACATTTTTATGAATCGCTATAATTGAAGTGGCATTTATCTAATTGTGCAACATTACAAACCTAAACCACAAAAATGATTAAATCCATGAACGCTTTAGCTTCTCTAGCATGGAAGAGGCGACACACCGCTAAGCCCCATGGAGTTAATTGAATGTTAGGCCATCTCCAACGGCAACCCTTAGAAACCCTCCCGCATCCGTGGGTAGACAGCGGGGACCAGCCCGCGAACATGGGGTGGGCATGGTCGCCGGCGGTGATGGCCTGACTGGTGGCGGCAAAGGCGAGAGAACTTGCTGGTCTTGAGTTGGCCGCACCTCGATGGTGATAGAAGCGGCCAAGCCCGTGGCAGTCGCACTCTGTGGCTCCACAGCAGAGGTCGCGCCCGGTGAGGCAGCTCAGAGCACGTCGGCCAGATCGACCTGGGTGAGCCTGATTTGGTTTCCCAAACTCCTAGGATCCTGCGACACCTACTTGTTGAACGCAAGCTGCGCTTCGAATAGCTTGTCCGCGACGGCCTGCTGGTTGTAGAAGCGGTTCAGCAACTATTCCATGAGCTTGGTGAGGCTTCCCGTGCTCTCTTCCATGGCGGGTAGGAGGTGACGAGTGTGAGAGAGTGGTTGGGATGGAGCCATCGCGACTGTTAAGGATCGAACCCCGCAATGGATTTCAGGCGGCCTCGAAGTCGCACTGAACGCGATGGATGTTACCGATCGAGCGGACGAACAAATCACGGGGCAGCGAAAATTTTGGTTGGATCAACTGGCTCTGGTTACCAAATTGCCATGACCCAAGTACAGAGATCAAACAGATAGATAATTCAACACCAATATTCGATATAAATTCAGAGGATACATGGGAATTTGGGGTGAGAAATTAGCAAAGAGGAGGTGAGATACAGTAGCAGCAGAGGAAGAGGAACGAGATTAGAGGACGAGAAGGTTGAAGACGAATCATTCATTCACTGTCCTTCCATGTGCTCTCCCGGTTGCATATATAGCCTTTGCCGTGTGGGCACAAACCTCCAATGGGACGGCCCATCTCGTAGCCCAGGCCCGGTTACGAAGAATAGGGTGACAGTCCATGGGTGGGGTGTTACACGACATCAGTGACGACCCGACTGACGAAGGTGTGGATTCCGCGTGCCGATATGAGTCCACCACATGCTGATCTACTAATGGGCAAACATCTCCGCCTCTCGGCTCTCACAGCACGGCTTGTGGGTCTGTCTAATCTCAACCTAAGATATACTACAAACATCTTCCTCCTTTTGTAAATAAATACATCTGTATTTAGATAAATTTAAGACAAATAATTTGAGAGGAAGGTTGTACTAGTTAGATTCAATTACAAATGATATACTTGTTTTTTTACTAACTATAAGTCTAGAATTGCATAAAGCATGAGGAAGAAGAGACCACCAAGAATAACAATTGAAGCCATTTGTTTTAACCACCCGGTCTACTGATGAGAATGCAAAGAGACATGTATATAATTTAGGAGTGAAATCACTACAAAGCTTGATGTTTAATGGTTTGATGGACCTGTTGTGCGTAAATAACTAAATATACATCTAAGCTAATGAAAAATGTAGCTATTTCAATGTAATTGCAAGAACAAAAATTGACATTGTTTGTTTGATGTCGATGCTATATTTAAGAATCGATATACTTTGGTCCTGCATTTCTTGCACGTGCATTGTCCTCTTGGGCCCCCTATGTTGAAATCCTAGCTCCGCCCTTGGTTGTCGTTGCCTGCCATCCGCTAGCCCAGTTCGTCGTCGACCACCGCGCTAGGCACCGAGGCTCCTAGCCTGCCCCTGTCACCGTCGATTTTGCTTGTTACCCTTTGAATGCATGTTACGGACGAGTACACATGGTTGAATCGGCCAGCGGAGATTGAGCGTTGATAGACGCACCAAACCAGGGATTTCCCTATTTGATGCATTTTGCGTCAAGTTGTCGGGGCGCCGCACATGCATCAACCATGACGGGCCCATCCAGTTAAAAACGCCACATGCGTTACAACGATCCTGATTTTAGGAACATTCTGGAAGGTTCCAGCCGGTTTTTCCGGTTTTGGGAACCTTGTTTCTGGACCGGATTTTTTTTTTATTTTTCTGTTTGTTTTTTCCCGTTTCAGTTTTCTTTAGCCTCCTTTTTCGTTTTTCTTTTTTCATTTTATTTTCTGATTCTTTTTCTGTTTTCTTTTATTTTCTTTCATTTTTATTTTATTTCACTTTCTTTTTTTCCTTTTCTGCAATGTTCAAAAATCCAAAAAAAAGTTTAGAACTTCAAATATTTGTTCGCTTCTTATACGTACAAGAAATATTCCAAATATTTGTTCAGTTTCCTTTATGGTTGGGAAGCGACCTTGTTGACTTGCAGGAGGTACTTGGTTCGATCCTTCACCGACACTTTAGTTTTTGGGAATTTTTGCGTATGTTCAGTTTTTGCTACTATCGTTGGTTTCTTTAATGATTGCGCTGCAAAAGTAATACAGGAGATAGCCTGGCGCAGCGGCTAGCACAGCTCCTGCAGCTGACTACGTAGTCAGCGGTTGGAAACCTCAGCTCGCTTAGTTTTTTTAGCATTTTTTCACCTCGCGAACAGAAAAATGGGCCGGCCTAGGTGAGAAGCGTTTCTTTGGCGCAATATAAGATTAAGCGGCGAGTAGGAGCTCCCCAAAACAGTCCACGGAACAGCCCAGCGAGCAACAAACTGACATGCACGCGGTCCAGCACTACGGCCCAGCGACGAACGGGCGCTGTTTTATTTAGTCCCACATCGGCCCGCTAGGGAGAGGCGAACCGGCAGCCCGCATCGGTCCTTCGGGAACATCCGATAATATTGGAAAGATACAGGGAAGATTGGCACCGCCACATTTGGCACGGCCCCTGCAGAGTCCCTGGAGCCCTCTCTTTTTTTTGCCTTGCCCTCACGTGCACTGCGCTTAAGTTCCATCATCACAAGTTTTTGAATTAGTCTTCCATTCAAGTCCACTTACGTGCACCGTTGTTTGTTCCTTAATTCGTCGGGTGTTGGGACGCAAGATTGATCCTTGGCATCAAATAGGAAGCAGCAAAGACAGCTAGGAAGTCAGTCCCGAGGGCACGCCCTAAAGGGCACCGAGCTCTACTCTCGCCCCGGGCCCCTAAAATCACAGGACCGGCCCTGCCCGTAGACGTTGGTAGTGTGTGGACGCACGCCACCCTCGCTCGCTACACCATTAATAGCAAATGTAGCACCTGCGGCCACCGGTTGCAGCTCGCAACTATGTCGGTTGTAGCTCGCCCGTCTCTGGTTGTGCAGCTAATGTGGCTACTAAGCTATTTCTTTGGAAAGCTCCTACTAAGATTAGAAATTCCCCGATAAAGCTGCTAGTGCCGGGTAAACTCATATTGGCTAAAGTGAAAAAGAAGAAAATGGTAGGGAAATTCGAGTTCACCGGCCACCGGTTGTAGCATCGCCCCCCTATTCGTTGCAGCTCGTCGGCCATCGGTTGTGGCACTGTCTCGTATCAGTTGTACCTCTCCGCCTAACAGTTTGTAGCACCATCCCGTGCCAGTTACTGCTCCCAACCCCAGCTGGTTGTAGCACATGCCTGTGTCGGTTGTAGCTTTGGTCTGCCTTGAGCCATGGTTGTAGCTTACGATCAAAGCCGCATTCACCACCGGTTGCAACAAGTTGTGTTGCCGGTACCAGCATTTGTCAACGGTTGGAGCTCCCGTCATAGTTGTTGCTATGGCCGGTTGCAACAACCGTGGCTACCGGTTTCAGGAAGTGTTCGTCATGGTTGTAGGGTTCGTTGCCGTCGCCTAGAATTTTAAAAAAGTGTTTACATATTTTAAATACCGAGTCTATTTGGTTTAGAGCCGAGAGCTACCGTGCCAAATTATTGGCGTTGACCAAGTGCTCCAAGAAAGGCAACACACAATATCATTTGGAAAACATACTAGTGCAAACTACAAAAGGTGGCGGTGAACTTTGTGTTTATAAATTGCATTGCAAAGAAAGGATTACACAATTCTCTATAGCACTATGCTCCCTAGTTTAAAGAGCTAATATTCAATTGAGGTCTCCAATTGAAATTGGGTCGCCCGATTTTGACCGGAACAACAATTTTCTCAAAGCCCTCTCATTCAATTATTTTACACTATACACCTAAATTTTAAGTTCTCTCAAATAATTGGGGTCTTCAATTTAAATTTTGCTCATCCAATTTTGATCAGGTCAACAATTTCTCAAGGAGCTCTCCCATTCAGTTATTTTAATTCACTATGTTCCTTAATTTTGAAACTCTTTCACTCAATTGAGGTATTTAATTTTGGATTTGATTTACGATTTTGATTGGGCCAACATTTTTCAAATCAAACAACAGCAACCAGCCAATAAAAATATATCAATCCCGTGCACCTTCTCATCCTTAGAAAAAAAGCCATCATGTGATACTGTAGCACCAATATAGTACATGCAGCCACTGACGCAGAAATTAGCCCACATAAATATATGTTGGCTAGCGGATAACACACAGAACCACACCATGAAAGGCCCATTAAATCACAACATTATAAATAAACATAAAACACTCTATCATCCCCCGACCCGTCAAACTAAATATTCCATCAACTCAAAAATATATGGGGTATTAGTTTTTTTTGAAAGTCAAATTTCTACAACTTTGACCAAGTTCAAATAAAAAAATATTGACATCCACAATATTAAACAAAAAAATATAGAAATTTATTTCATATGTATTTTGATATATTTCTTAATAAATTTGATCAAACTTAAAAGGTTTGACTTTTAAAAAAATAATACACCTTATATTTTGAAACAGAGTGAGTAATTTTTTTTTAAAAAAAAAACAACAGCACCAACGGCACAGTAAAGTGCGCCCAAACCCTTCTAGTATATTTTGAAATGGGAAGACTGACTCGAGCTGACAGATGAATACTGAGATGAAAGGAGAACGCAATACACAACATTTCAACGCAAAGGACTTTCAGAAACACTAGCAAACCGATGGATTCTTTCCAAGGCCAGGGCAAACCTGAACCTCACCACACGGCTGACAGACTAACAACTAGATGAAACTCTTATCGAATAGTAGTTCAGAGATGAACTCTGCAGCAGTTTCAGCACGAGGTATCCCAACAATTCAGCAAACTTTCAGAGGCATTATAACTTAACAAGGTGACATCGGCGACTCCCGCTAGAAAGAGCAGCACCTCGACGAAACGCTGGCGGGTTCTCCGCCGGACACCAGGATGGACTGCCCCTCCCCGACGGCGCCGGCGCCGGAATCGTCCGTCGACGACAGCGCCTTCTTGCTGACGACCCGGTAGATCTCGGCGAGGACGGTCTGGAAGGCCTTGTCGACGTTGGTGGCGTCGAGCGCGGAGGTCTCGATGAAGGACAGGGCTTCCCACTCGGCGAAGCCGGCCGCCTTGTCGGTGGCGACGGAGCGGAGGTGGCGGAGGTCGGTCTTGTTGCCGATGAGCATGATGACGATGTTGGAGTCGGCGTGGTCGCGGAGCTCCTTGAGCCACCGCTTGACGTTGTCGAAGGTGGCGGCCTTGGTGACGTCGTAGACCAGCAGCACCCCCACGGCGCCCCGGTAGTAGGCGCTCGTGATCGCCCGGTACCGCTCCTGCCCCGCCGTGTCCCATATCTGCGCCTTTATCGTCTTCCCTTCCACCTGAACGACGCAAGCTTCAGCAATGTGATTAATTTCAGATGTGTGGATCATCGGATAATATTTTTGGGCAAACCGGATAATAATGTTGATGCTGGCTAAGTGACATCAACATAACAATCTTTAGAAGGAAGGTGCAACTGTGAACCGGATGACAAGTCATTGATTGGGTGGTCAGGAATGTAGGAAGTGCAATCAAATCACATCATTGCCTAACTAACATCCACCTGTCCTAATCTCATGTTATGAATTTTGGTACCAATCAAATCCCGGTGATGATGAAGGTGGTGAGTGGAAACAGAAATGGTACTTTAAAACAGCCATTGTCCAGATTCAGTTATAGACTCTGAAGGTGCGGATGGCATATGGAAGCAGCGGGCAGCAAGATTGACATGGTCATTGACAAAAAGAAACTCGCACTAATGATACAGAGATAAGATAGTCAACTACTAGTACTTTGACAAAAAAAAAAAGAACACCCTGTTACTTACTCCTATTCGAAAGGAAATTCATGACTGGGTGGTTTCAAGGGTATTCAGGTATCGAATTTGAATCAGGGTAGAAACTGAATTTGGCTCTGCTTCTGCATAGCATCTCACCCAACCGTTTGAAAGCATCATCATACTCTGTTGAACACACGCATCCACTTCATATTCCTTTTGGATTAATTGAGCCAAACAAGCTGAAATTTAGAAAATTTCTATGTTTCCATCATCCGAATTTGTTCAAATAGTAACTAGATGCACTCTTTTTTGTGCTGATAGGATAAACTGCAGCCAAACGAGAGCCTGAACCGCTAGAAACAGGGCACAAATAGCTTCCAAATTTTTACCGGCCAACGTGAGCAGAACTTGCACTAGTGCTGCAAGGAATCAATCGATCGATGGAAAGCATCCAACGATTCGACGAATTTAAGGAAGCAAGGTGGAGGAGAGCAGAATAGATGAGGGGAAGGGGAGCCGGACCTGTGTGGTGCGGGTGGCGAACTCGACGCCGATGGTGGACTTGGAGTCGAGGGAGAAGGTGTTCTTGGTGAAGCGGGAGAGGAGGTTGGACTTGCCCACGCCGGAGTCGCCGATCAGCACCACCTTGAACAGGTAGTCGTACTCGTCGCCGCCCTGCTCCCACGCCGCCGCCCGCCGCGCCCGCGCCGCCATCCCCTCCCTCCCTCCAACCGATCAGCCAACCTCCTCCGGCCCCGTCCCTTTCCCGGGCCAACGCTGCCGGCCGCTTGCTCCTCGGAGCCTCCGCCGCCTCTCGCCCGGTCGCTGTCTCCCTCTCTCTCTTCCCTCCCGCCCGAGGAGGAGACTGGCTGGCTGGCTGCGGCTTCTTGCTCTGCTTTGGCTGCTTGCTCGCGGTGGTCTGCTCTGGGAAGGAGGGCCGGGGGAGGGACTTGATTTTTATTCCGAAAGGACAGACAGAGTGCGGCTACGTGATGTGACTTTGTCTTGTTGGCTCCTCTCCGGTGGCCTACGAGCTAGCGTATCAATCTTCAATCTTGATAGAAAAAAGTGCAATTTGTGGATTGCGACCAGTAATTATTATTGTTCTTGTTACATATTACGAGTATATACCACACCGAATTTATTTCAAGTGAGTCACATGTCAATGTGCTCACCGTGAAGCGCTCCATGTAATTGCGCTTCTGCGTTTGCATTAACGATGACCAAACCACTTTTCTTGCTAGTAACTCTTTCCCAGATGGCTCAAGAATGACTATTATAAAAACCCACGCTAACAACTGTTACTCATCTTATGACAGAGAGTCGTGAAATACAAAGGGATGGACAGAACTCCGCCCAAGGGCTATGAATATCTTGACCAAGAAATAACTAGCTCTCATTTCGCAAAAAAAAAAAAAACAACTATCTCTAAGTTATCTAGGAAATAGGTACACGATCGATCACACTTTTCGAGAAGCCTATGGAGCAAACGGTTTGCCATGTTTTTTCTTCTTTTGAACACATTACAGACGCAAACGCTCATACATACGTGCATACACGCACATCCTACCCTATGAGCACCTTCGGAAGATTGAGCCGGTATATCATTTTAAAATTTACGAAGTCACCGTTGGCACTTTGTCGCCGACGCGAACATCTACTCCCACTGAAAATACATCGCTGGAAATCCTTAAATAAATCCAGAAATAATGCGAGCACCAGAACTTGAACCCTGATGGGCTGGGGATACCACTGTCCCTCTAACCATCCAACTACAGGTTGGTTCGTAACGGTTTGCCATGCTGAGTAACAGACCCAATGATTCGTTGAGATCTTTTTTTAAAGAAGGATGACCCCTCTACACCTGAGTGATGCATACAACGATTCTTTTTAATTATTCGCAAAGACCTTACAAAGTAATAGATCAATATGTCTCAAGTCATCATCTTGACAACAATTGTAGTACTCTTATACACTTGATGAAGGGGTGCAGATTATCTGAGCCGAATATCCAAACCTCTCACTTAAGCCTAACATCTAAAGCCGGAGACCCCAACCAAGCCTCATACCAGGTCTGGGGCACGCACTGGTCTGATGCACTCTCAGAAATCACCGCTAACGTCTTCCACATATCCATCTTCAGAGCAGGTACTGATCCATCGACCTTGCCAGGCCTGCCGTCGACGCCTCCACGGCACCGGACAATGCCTCCTCCCTACGCGTGTCCATCATCACACATCAGTCACCGAGACCATGCCGCACCACGCCACCTTGACTTCACGTCGTCGATGCGTCAAGCCATGCACACCTCCAAGAAACTGTCCACTGGTCCCTCAAGCCATGCACACCTCCAAGAATGGTGGCCCCAAGGATGGAACAACATAAGGGTGATGCCGTCATCAGATCGACTGATCTTGGGTTTCCCACGGATGTAGCGGGAGGAGCTGGGAGCTTCACCTCGATGATGCCTTCAAGAAGGAAACAACGCCATTGCATCGTCCATCATAGGCTTTTCCCAGCTGCCGAAGACAAGATCTTCACCCGGATCTGCCGCACGAGACTCCAACCGACAACTGTGCATCTACAAGACCACCTTCAAAACCCCGCATCTGGCCGCCCAAATCCGACGATTATCCACAGCCACACTGCCATCGCGGTGTAGCCTGACGCTCTGGCCACTGCCGAAGGGAGCCACCACTGGAGCATGGAGGGAGGGCTGCCATCCCACCGCGTCAAATGCCGGAAGAGCCGTTAGGATGAATCCCAAGCACGCTCTTCACCATCTCTGTACCGCACGGGAACCGGGAATGAAGCCGCCGGAGCAGCTCCGCCTTCAACATGGGTAGCTCCATGCTGTGCAGACGAGGACGACCTGGGCCTCACCGGCTGCCATCGCCCGGGGCCGCCGCCCCGGTATTCGCTGCCATGCAACGAGGCGACCACCCTAGCCAGGTCATGACCGGAGGCCACCGCCGCATGCGCCCGACCCGATCTGCCCAGCCAAGCGTTGAATTAGCGGCAAGGGAAGGGCGGCGATGGAGCAAGCAAAGGCGCCAATCACTAAGTCGGGTGAAAACATACGCATTCCGGCAACATGAAAAGAGAGGAAGGGAACTGGGTAGGGAGGGGGGGGGGCGCGAAAAATAGAGAGAGGTAAATTTGCCGCGCACCGGTCCACTCTTGTACATGCATTTACCCAACAAATACACTGCAAGAAACATTTCATCTACAATACACATTCCACCAATCCATCGCATACCTTTCAGCACGACCAGAAATGGCCGGCCAGGATGGGAATGTCTCGAGACGTGGACATGTACATACCTCGGTGTGATGGTGGTATGCCTAGCAATATCCCACTAACAAAAGAAAAGAAGAAGGAAAAGATTCCCAAAACCAAAGGCACAATCTGAAGCCATTGCTATCCGGGGATAAATCCGGCAGCTCCCCGCTTTGCTGAGCTGGGACGATCATCTCGGGACCGCCCTCAACCGATAAAAAGGCATAAACGGTTAGCCACATTATATATAAACTACGGTTTGACTCGAACAAATTAAACTCCCACTATGCAAATGATTGTAGGCATGTATGCAGCCGACGAGGAATGAAAATGCTACCCCTCCGTTTCAAAATAGATGATCCAACTTTGTACTAACTTCAGTATAAAGTAGGGTTGTCTATTTTGAAACAGAGAAAGTATTAGTGTAATGAAAATGGCTACGTGGCGGCCGATGTGCCTACAGAATTGGACAGAGCTATCACACGCAGGAAAAGTCAACGTCGTCCACGCACACGCACACACGCATCACCTTTTTTCTTTTGTAAATCCATATATAGGATGATAAGAATTTCGTGCAAGTACACGTGTACGATTCGTCGTCTGGCCGTGCGAAATCAACTTTAGGGCATCCGTGGTTCAAGAGGAATCCACGCCACCAGGATTGGAAACCATACTTTAACTCTTTTTTTTTAAAGATGGTTTACTTTATCATGCATTTTGTAAATAATGTTGTCCTTCATCGTTTAAACCTTTCACTTATCCTGTTCACTGGACGAACCAAACGCAACATCTAGCTATTCACACCGCCTTCTATTTTCAGTTCTAGTGGGATTCAGTACGGCACGGCCTATATTTCCTATCTCCTCCTCTTTGTATTCGTGTGAACTGAAGAGGGGCACATAGGACCGATCAAAGGGTTTTGCCATCTAAAGTTAGTACAAAATTGAGTCGTCTATTTAATTTGGAATGAAGGAAGTAGGAACGAGCATAATAAGTCTTACAAAAAAGATACATCTCTGGCTTGTGTGAAAGCAACCTTTCAATCATGCTTTTTCGCCGAAAAATGACACACAAAATAATAGAGTTTCTATTCGCACCGAATGCATAGTGTCCATCTCAAAAAGATAATGATGTGTCAAACTACTAATGTGTGGTTTGCAATAAGGAAAACTCTTTCTATGAAACATAGCATGTTCATAAATATAGAGTATATCTTGACTGTTCAATAGTAAAATATCTATTGATTATTATTTTAATTTTTTTGCGAAAAAAACTTCTAATTTATTCATCAACTGTCAAGGTAGTGCAAAGAAAAACAGAAGTAAAAATTACATCCAGGTTCGTAGATCACTTAGCGATGACTACAAGCACTTAAGAGAGCCGAAGGCGCGCCGCGGTCATCGCCCCTCCCTCACTAGAGCCAGGCAAACGTTGTTTTAGTAGACAGTTGAGGAAGTCATCGTGCTAAGGCCCTAGAGGACCGCGCACCAATACAACAATCGTCATCGATGAAGAGAAGCGTAGATCAGAAGGATCTAACTTGTACACACACGACCACTAACGAACAAAGACCTAATCCGTATGGATCCATCAAAGACAAACGCCTACCGAGTCCCACGAGATCCACCGGAGACAAATCTCCACACGCCCTCCAACGATGCTAGAAGTACCGCCAGAACGAGGGTTAGACGGGGAGAACCTCATTCCATCTTCAAAGAGTCGTTGTCGTCTCGCCTCTCTGAATAGAACACAAACCCTAAAAAAACTAAAAAAAAAAATCAGAAAACGAGGCCCTCCCTCCATGGCCCTAAGGCCACATAGGACGAGGCAGACCGACAACGACGCCGACGGAAGGCACAAGAAATCTTAGCGCCAGTGGCGGCTAGGTTTAACTAGGTTTTTTTTCCTTACGAAACTACTCCCTCCGTCCGAAAATACTTGTCATCAAAATGGATAAAAGGGGATGTATCTAGACGTATTTTAGTTCTAGATACATCCTTTTTTGTCCATTTTGATGACAAGTATTTTCGGACGGAGGGAGTAGTTTTCAGTGAGATGTGTGTTACGAGATTGACGATCAATACAATTCATATTTTAAAACACATTTCGTATGGTTAAATGCTAGCCAAACATCGTAGGAAGTCTTTAGGGTCGAGCCCTGGATTCGGGTCTTGTAAAAAGAAATGTGTTTTTCACTTTTGGGTGTGAATCCTGTGATATGTTTGCGGTACATTATTCTTATTATTCTGCTGGTTAATCAACGTCCAAATTTAGACTTAAAAATAAGAGAGAGATATTGTGACCAAAACGCAAGTATATATGTTTCTGTAACGAGGATGGCGCGAATCTCGAGGCACAGGAGGGCATGAATGGCTCGCAAGCCACAGCGACGCCACGCTGACCAGGCGACCACCCGTTCCCCTCTTCTCCTTCC